CCTGTACCAGTAAGAAGCTGTTTGGGATTCTTGTCTGGATGGTATGCTAGGCAGAAATTTTAAGGGTAGTATTTTTAAGTTTTTCCTCCCCAAATGTACTTTTGTTTGTAGTTCTTGAGATTGAGCTCAGGACTTCTGGTATGCTAGGCAAGTGTTGTTCCTCTGTGCGACATCCCTGGCCTATAGACAAACTCTAATCCAAACAACAAACATATTTTTATGAGCGCCTATTGTATGTTTTATGTTGGTGTCATTGTAATAGCACTTCCAAGAAAACTTGAAATCAGGTCCTTGCTTCCTGTGGTTTTATAATCTCAATGAAGCAAAAACAAAAAAAAACAAAAAACAAAAAAACCACACGCTGGAAATGGTAGATTCACGCTCAAAGGAAGAGAGGAAACAATGAACAAAACTACTAAGACATCTATGGACTGTAAAGCAGGGTCTGGATCAGAATGCAAGTAGAGAAGGAAAGTATGGTAACCTCAACAAAAGCCAAAGGCAGGAAATAATATTTTATCAAAAAGACCATGAGAGGTTGACTTCATAACTTCAACACTGAGGACCAGGAGGTTTAGCTTTTGATTCCTGCTTTTTCTTTAGCCATTAACCATAAATAAAACTTGGATGTCATTAGACACTATACAACTTCTGGTTCTTATTAACTACTTTAGGTGGTAAGGGCAGTTCATCAGTAGCCACTCATGAAATCCTCCAGAAGGTGGCCATGAAGCATTTATTGAACGTTATGCATGTGTAAACAGGTTTTAGCAATCTTTAACTACCAGGACTGGAAACATCTGTTCCACAGTGACAATGTGTTTTACATTATTTGTTTTATTCATTAATGAAAATATCATGGATATTCAATAAATATTTACTGAATATATAATTTATTTATGCATGAATTCATTTATATGCGCTTCCCAAGGCAAGTTAGGTTGGTAAGGTATCTTTTGGGCTTATTCACTCAAGGCCGGAGTTCTACCACTCCAGTCTTTATTTCTGTTTTTTTGTTGGTTAATTGGAGATAAGCGTCTCTTGGATTTGTCTACCCAGGCTGGTTTCAAACTGTTATTCACAGGCCTCAGCCTCTTGAGTAGCTAGGATTACAGGTATGAACCACAAGAGTGCCTGGCTTTCTAGCTAAGCACTAAGTTTTTTTTCAATCCTGGGGTATGAATTCAAACTAGGAATATTTTAAAATTTGAAAAAAATCATATCTATGTAGGATACTTTGTGTTTGTTTTAACGAAATGGTATTGTAAAATGGCAACTGAGAAGCACAGGTGTCAATCAGAGTTGAGTTCTGCTCTGTAACATAATAGTTGATTAATCTTAGACCAGTTAATCTATTTACAATTTTTGTTATTGCTGTGAGGTTTACATGTAAGAATATATGAAAAGTAATTCAAATATACTATACACCCAAACATTAGCAATTCCCCGCAACTTATTAAAGGTGTTCCCTTTAGTAGTGAGTAAAAAAGTAAGTTTATATCCTTATTTCATTTCAAATTTTATTTGAATAATTTTCTTATTTTTATCTTTATTTTTGTGCCAGTCCTCTGGCTTGAACATATGGCATTGACAATGTCTATCACTTGAGCCACAGCTCCATTTCTGAATTTTTGGTGGTTAATTGGTAATAAGAGTCTTATGGATTTTCTTGCTCAGGCTGGCTTTTAATTGTGATCCCAGATCTTAGCCTCCTGAGTAGCTAGAATTAAAGGTGTGAGCCACTGGAACACAGCAATATTTTATTAGCTATTGTTTTTGTGGCCAAAACAAGTGATCAAACCATGGTTTCGGTTTTGAAGGATTGAAACATTAGGGAACATAGACTATTTCATGCATTTCAGCAGGTGTTCAAGGTGAAGATGCTGAGAATTTCATGAATCCATTGCCCTCAAATGATCACAGATTAACCCCAGGACAATGGCTATTTGTGGCCACTGAACTATTTTTTTTTAAATTAAAACACAGAATGGGAAATGAGGATAAATGTAGCCTAGCAACAAGCTTCTATTATTAGTAGATTATTGAACATAGAGAAAATAAAGAAATGAATTCTCGAGAGTAATGGATTAATTCACCTAAGGCTTTTGATGTGCACATCATTTTAAGATGTTCTTATGATTACTCCAGAAGGTTTCTAAGTAAAAAATATAAAAATAAATGTCGCTATCCTAATCAAACATCGTTCCTGAACATTCCTGTAACAAGAATTCAGATTTCTCTGTCAAAATTTGCACACAGAATTATTATTGAAAGTAAAAATATCTGTAACAGATTGAGAGCAGATGGGTGGTTATTGCATTTGGAAGGAATGGTTATTTACTAGTTGACCAAGCCTATCTACTTAAAATAACTAAAGATAAATGACATTAAGGCATTTTAAAACATTGAAACAGCCTTTTCTTGAAACATTGCATATTATGCAATTTGGAAGATAAAACCTATATATTAGTAACAATACTTGTTTGAAAACATAATAAATATTTTGAATATAATCAGTGGGAAAATACTCCTTTTGAATGGTTTTGAGGACAAGAGAAAGAACATATCAGAGAAGCTTTTTAAAAATCTGTTTTCTTCTCATGTTCCCAAGGTGGAATGGCCAGAAATGTTTCTTTTAAAAAGTACAAGGAGGCTTCATTTTGGACTGATGTTATGAGAAAATTTCACTATTCAACCAGTAAAACTATATACAGAAAATCAAGGCACTAAGAAAATGTAGCTCTAACTTCCAAGAAATGAAAAAGCAAATACATCAGTTGAACATGTCACACTTGAAAAGTATTAAATAATCATTCACATGAATGAAATATCTTCAAATATATATTTGAAATATATATACTGTGGCCGTTAATTTAGAGACAAATGTCAAGATAACTTTTTCAGTAGCCATGTGGCCTTGAACTGGTTATTTAATCTTCCTCCCTCATTCATCCATAGCATGGAAATGGTAAGAATGTCCATATCATGAGGACAAATTTTAAGAGTTAATGATAATAAAATAAGTAAAAACACTTAGAAGCCATACTTATCACAAAGTAAGCATTAAAGAGATGTTAGTTATAGTTTTATGTAAATGTATACAAGTAGGTAAAGAGACATTTTAAGCTTGTTAAAATACCTTAGTTTGCTTTTGAATTTCACAAGAAAAATGCAAGACTTTGGGAGTACAGCAATCAGAAGATCAGGGCTCAAAGTCAGACTGGGCAGGAAAAGTCCATGAGACTCTTATTTCCAATTAATCATCAGAAAACCAGAAGTGGCACTGTGGCTCAAGTGGTAGAGCTCTAGCCTTGAGGTGAAGAGGTGAGAGACAGTGCCCATGCCCAGAGTTCAAGCCCCACGACAGATCAAAAAAAAAAAAAAGAAAGAAAGAAAAAAAGGAGAAGAAAAAGAAAAGAAGCTTAAGGAGATCTTTTTCATCTCCACACTGAGGACTGATTCTAAGATCTCACTAAAGATACAAGGAAGCATTACTCCCACGCGAGGGACCTTTTGTAAGCCTGGGTTTAACCAGAGTTGAATTGTAAACCTAGTCCTTCGTAGATCGATGCTTTATCTACTAGTTTGGGTTTACATATGGCAATTTTCTTACCATTTTTTTCAGAGTAGATGAATTTAACTGTTAGCAAGCATATGTTTATCTATGTATCTAAGTATGTACATACATATGAATATATGTATGTGTCTCTATCTTTCTATCATATCACAAAATTCAACACTTTGTTTAGCTATGACTAGCCCTGGGAAAAAACGAACTCCTGGCACATATCTTTAATCATCAGTACCTCCTATTCCCAGTTTGGTATTCTTAACCTAATGGCTATTAATTAAGGTAATTTGTGTCAGTGTGTGTTTATATTTTTCATTTTGAAATGGTTCTGTTCCAGGTGGAAAAATTTCTGTTGTATTGTTAAGTCTAAAATGATGGTAGATATGCAGATGACTTTCAGTCTTCTCCACATCTGCGGTAAAGAATGCCATGTGACATGTTGCCATTGTATGTATAATGTTTCCTCCATCTTTGCCTCTGACTGCCCTGTCCCATTTCTTTCTTTTGAGGTTTTAACTTATTTTTAATTTTTATTGTTATTAAAAAGGTGCTGTACAGAGGGATTACAGTTACATAAGTTAGGTAATAAGCACATTTCGTTTAGGACAATGTCACCCATGCTCTCAGTCTCCCCATTTTTTTACTTCTGTCCCCACCCACAAAGTTATATTGATTTTGAACATAGTCTCTAGTGAGTACCAGAGCTGCATTTGTTTACCCTTTGCCTGCCCCAGGTCTTTCACCTAAACATCTGACTCTCCAATGAAGATCAGTAGGAGGAAAATCTTTCAAGCCAGAAATAATTTTGGTAGATAGATAGGTACAAGAAAGTGTTCTTGAGGCAGACAGGGAAATTGTTATTAAACAGGAATAAGGAAACAGCTTTGAAAGCATGGTGAAATAATGGAAGGGATGGCATTGATCAACATACATTGCACCTACAAACTCAAGTGTTGAACTGAAACCCCTTTGTTCAACTACTTGAAGATAGAAAAAATAGAAAAAAAGAAAGCCCAGTGTATAGAATAAAATAGTTAAAACTAGCTTGACATTGAGAATTACTTTTATTAATAGCCTGTAGCCTACAATGGGATAAATTTCTCATTGTTAGCATCTGCTTATTAGTGCTTTGCTGCCAACTAGTGAGTATAGTGGGAGAACCCTATTCAATGATGACAAAGCAAGTAGGGGGTTTCTCAGCACACAAAATGATAGAAATTGTCATTGATTTTGAAAACTAAGCATACAAAAATCTTCACAATGTTATTGTATAAATTCTAAGAAAATAGTATGGTTTTCATATTCTGTAACAGAATAATATGCCTCAATAGGAAGAATTCTGACCTAGCTTTTAGTAATATCCATGTGATTACTTCCACTTAAAGATGAATGAGATGTTATTGTCACACATTTGTTTTTCTTTCTTTAGAATTATAACCTGTGCTATGAGCATGAAGCGCTATGTGGAAGCTAACATTTCTCAGAAGTCCCATACAACTATCAAGTACTTCATGAAAATGTGGAGCAGTGTTAGTGATACACTCATCTTCCTCTTCCTTGGCGTTTCTACCATTGGCAACAGTCATGAATGGAATTGGCCCTACATTTGTTTTACTGTCATTTTCTGTCTGATATGGAGAGCACTAGGTAGGGCACTTGCTGTTGTTGTATACATAAAACTATGCTAACTTAATATGGGTTTGTATTAGAATCCAGAAATTTAAAATTCCAATATGCCATACTTTGTATATGTCAGTTATGTAGGGAATTATTTAAGATCAAGATTTAGAGAAGTTCTGGAAATAAGACTTGAAATCAAATCACACTGGCATTCCTTAGCATTTTGGCTTGGGCAAAGTTATATAATCATGTTAGGTCTTTGCTTCCTCAATGATAAGATGGGAGTGGAGATGATCTTGGTGACATCTCCCAGATATAGTGAGAATTTCATGAGGTAACCCAGTCAAGGAGCTCATTAAAGAGCCTGGCTTAATGTAAGTCCTCAGTAAATGTTTTTACTGCTATCATAACCACTGCTCAAATTTCTGCTACTTCATTCTGCTACAAATACTGTTATAATATAAATGAATATGACAAAATTCAAATTCTCCTAGAGTTACAAAGAATTTCTCCCCAACACTACTGCATATTGTAAGATGAGATCTGAGCAGAACTTGTAATTCTTATAAAGGTTTTTACCCCCTGTTTCATCCTAGCTTACAAAAGAGTAAAATTTACCACTGCCTTTGGCTATTTTTCCAACTTCCTGTCTTAACACATGTAGTTATTCCTTAGTAATATCTACATTGGTGCTATAGAAAGACTGACTGTATCTTGGAGATACATACTCCTGCAGAAGGAGTATGTATACCATCAATGTCTTTTCTTCACACCCTGGAAGAGGTTGAGTGGCATCTGGTATCCCCATGACACACCTGCTATTTCACTATTCTGTCTGCAGCTAAACTCTTCCCAGTCCAACCATGACATTAAAAAATTCCATTCACATTGAAGGGAAATCAACTCTCTTCCCCCACCCTCTCTCTCATAGTTCCATCCAGAAAGCATCACATATTCATTGCCAGGTAAAATGAGGTGTCTCTTTATTCTTCCTCTATTTTATACCATGCATAGGAATTGAGCTGATAGTTTATTATCTTTCCTTGACATTTATATTGTACCCCCACAAATGAGGTTTATCATTATACATTTTTCAATAGAAGCTGTGAAATTTATTTTCACAACAGTGAGAGGCACATTATGGAAAATGCTTAAGGCTTTAACAATGAATAGTTAGGCTAGACTATACTTTATTATCCATTAAACAGTGTTTAGGCTATTCTTTAACAGTGACACCATCAACTGAATGCCATATAGGTTTATAGAAGGCCATTTCTAGCTATTCTGAGCTTACAGAAAAAAAAATTCACTTAGCTTGTAATATTTTGTTTTCATTTAAATATTTTAAAAACAAAATTGAATACAAAATCTCTTTTGTGTTTCTATGCTACCAAAAATACTGAAAGATAAGAAAAAATACCAAGGATAATTGAGGATATTTTCTACAAGGTGTTAACATCTACCAAGAACAAACACTAAGTGTTGGCACTTTTAATGGGCATATATATATATATATATATAATTTTCTGTGAAAAATCTGGAGATGAAACAGATTGTTTCCAACAGTGTCTTATTTCTCTCTCTCTCTCTCTCTCTCTCTCTCTCTCTCTGCCTGTAGTAGAAAAGTAAAAATCCCTATAATAATAGTCTGGGATGATTAAGTTATGGTATTATTTTCTCTTTGGATGTTAACCATATTGTCTTTTTGTTTTTATCTGTCTTAGGGCCTGAACTCAGGGCCTGAGCACTATCAATAAGATCTTTTGCTCAAGACTGGCACTTTAACACTTTGAGCCAGAGGTCTATTTCCATTTTTCTTGTGGTTATTTGGAGATAAGAGTCTCATGTACTTTCCTGCCTGGGCTGGCTTTGAACTATGATCCTCAGATCTCAGCCTCTTGAGTAGCTAGACATGAGCCACCAGTGCCTGGATAAATCAGTTTTGTTTGCAAACTATTAAATGTCTTCATTAGTTGATACTTTAGAACATTTTCACCGTTTTTGCTATAGGGATCTACATAAGGTCAGTTTTAAAAACAGTAAAAAGTCTAGATTTTGTCAACTAGTATCTGATTAGCAAAAGCAGTTTGAGTTATTCTGATGAAACTTGACTGGAAGCTTGCTAGATATGACATCTATTTAGGCAAAATTGTAATTTATCCCCAAATGAATACATTATCAGCAATTTTTTCTTCTGGTGATTTCAATATAGCAAAAGAATGAATAGGAATATAACACATGTTTAAGCATTTATTGGAACATTTTAAATGTCCAACAACAGAGGAGTCATTAAGACAAATCACTAGAAAATAGCAATATAGCTATAATCATATGCGCATTTAGATGGTTTTATTACAAAGTATTAGCAATAATTTTCTTTGGATGGACAAAAATACAGATGTTGTGACCTGTTTCATATTTGTGTTCTTGAAGAGCTTTTGCCTTTTAAAACAGGAAATTAAACTAAAGAACTAAATAGAAATAAAAAGAAACAGTTTTAGAAAGAATTTAAACATGTCAGCTTTTGAGAAAATTTAGCTTTTATTTGGTTTTTAACATCTTTAAATGGAATTAAAATGTTTTAAAAATAGATAAAATTATGTACTCATGATCTTGCCCATGTAATTGTAACCCCTCTGTACAGTATTTTCACAATAAAAAGAAGAAAAAATAGATAAAATTGACAGAGGTGGAGAAAGATCCTACATTCATTTCTTATGAGTCAAAATTATCTGTTGGATAAAGTATTTTGATTCAAATTTAAGGTAAGATATCCCAGTCTAAGTCCTCTTACGAAGTGAATGTGAATTATTTTTCTGGTCTTCAAGTAAATCACTAGATATATCTATATATTAACATGTTAAAATGCACTGAACATTGAAGAATTGAAAAAAATAGCCTGTAACTTGAACAGTATATAATTCACCACTAGAGGGCAATACCCATGTGACAAAGATTTAAGTAGTGCCTTTCAAACTGTATGGGTATACATATAACCCACTGTATCTATGGTCAAAGCTTTTAAGACTGTAGTCAGATGTGAGTAATAGGGAACAAGATCACAGTTTCAGAACCCTAGACTCTAGGGAGTTGGAGGAAAGAAACTTTTCTTTAAATCTCTGGAAATCTTGCAAAGTTCACATTCTCTGGCTTTAGATCACTAGTTTTCATTAGTTCAATAGCATTTATAAGACTGAAGACAAGAGTTCCTCTTTTTTCCAGTGGCAATTACCTTTTGAAGAATAATCTTAGAGAATCTACATGCCTAATCTAGATTTATTCTAGAAAACTAAGAATCTTCAAAATTAAAAAAAAATGAAAACACATTAGAAAAGTACAATTATTCAAAGTAAGCTCCCTGAAAACAACTTTATGAAGTTTTCTATTTTTAATTAGTTTAGGCTTTAAAAATCATTCATCATAAATCCTTACAATTTCAATGTAGTTTAGTTCTAAGTTATTATAACATATTATAACCCTTTCATAATGTTTTCCTTTATGTGGACTAATTATCTCCCCTCTTCTTTTTACTGGAACTTTTTAGGAGTTCTCGTGCTCACTTTCTTCGTGAACAAATACCATGTGAATACAGTCACCAGAAAAGACCAATTCATTATAGCTTATGGGGGACTGAGAGGAGCAATCTGCTTCTCACTTGTTTTCCTACTCCCTGAGTTTTGCAGAAAGAAGCTCTTCATTGCTGCAACTACAGTTGTTATTTTTTTTACTGTTTTTGTGCAGGTAAACAAACCACTGAAACAGTGTAATTTGATCTATCCAATGGACTGTTTTTCTTCCCTTTATCAAGTTGTATTATCGTTCAATGAGCATATATTAATTGTACAGAAAGAGGGTTTCATGGTGACATTGTATATATACATATCTACATGTATGCATATACACATTCACATATATACATACATATGTATATACATATATGACACACAAACATAATACATATATAACACATATTTATATATGTATGTATACATATATAATACATAACATACATATATGCACATATATATATATATAACTGTATCTTATCTGTCCTGTATTACTTCTCATATCTACCCTCTACTATTACCCCCTTCTCCTGAGCCATTCTTCTTTCCCTATAGTGCCTCCTTTTATTATCATGTCTTCTTTCAAAATGTCTATATTCTTCACATGAAAGAAGGCCTGTTATATTTTTACTGCTTTTTGTCAAAGTCAACCTGAACTGTGCCTCTCTTATTTGTGCTTTCCTTTATCATTGGCATGACAGATAGGCCCCATCACACCAACCATTGGTTGAGATGAAGTCTTGTGAACTTTTATTCCTGGACTTGCCTCAAAGGAAATTCCATGCTCTCTTCTTCCAAATAGCTAGGATTATAGGCTTGTGCCACTAGAATGGGTCCCTTGATTTTTAAATATGATTTTTGGGAGTGATTGCTCTGGCTAGCACTTCTAGTACTGTATTCAGTAAAAGTGATGAATGGTCATCTTTGTCTTAATCAGGATCTTAGAAAAACTTTAGACTTGCCTTGTTTAGCAACGGTCTTTAGTAAATAGTCGTTAAAACAATATTGAATTTTACCAATTTCCTTCTTGGTGAGATGATAATATGGTTTTTGTCTATTATCTTGTTGGTGTAGTGTACTGTATATATTGATTTGTATATATTGAGTTTCAATTTTATTGGAACAATGAATCTCACCTGACCACAGTGCAGTTGGATTTGGCATGCCTGAATTTTGTTGAAGACTTTTACAACTGTTTTCATTTTTATGTGGCCATATAGAATGTCTTCAGAAGGTCTTTTTATTTTTATTAATTCAGTCTCACTACTACTTGTTATTGTTCTGGTCAGGATTTCTATTTGTTCATGATTCAGACTTTTTTTTTCTTTTTTTATGGGTTGTGGGGCTTGAACTCTGGGCCTGGGTGGTGTCCCTGAGCCTTTTAGCTCAAGGCGAGTGCTCTACCACTTGAGCCACAGCGCCACTTCCAGTTTTCTGGTGGTTACTTGGAGATAAGAGTCTCATGGACTTTCCTGCCTGGGCTGGCACTGAACCGTGATCCTCAGATCTTAGCCTCCTGAGTAGCTAGGATTACAGGTGTAAGCCACAGAGTGCCTGACTCATGATTCAATCTTGATAAAACCTATGTGTCCATGAATTTATCTATTCCTTTTAGGTTATCCACTTTGTTAGCATATATTGTTCATAAAAATTTTGGATAGCCTTTTGTATTTCTGTGGTAATAATTGTTATATCTGATTTTATTTGAGCACCCTCTCTCCTTAGTCTAAGAATTTATTAATTTTATCTTTTGAAAATAATCAGTTGTTTCTTTGATGTTTGTTTTACCTTTTTCATTTTTATTTTAGTTTTTTCCCTTTTTTCTTCTAGTTATTATTTTTCTCTACTTAAGATGAAAACATTAGTGGTATTTGAGATATGATTTTTTTTGTTGTTGGAGTTTATTTCTATAAACTTCCTTCGTTAGTACTGCTTTTGCTGTATCTTATAGGTTGGGTATGATATGCTTTCAGTTTCACTGGGTTCAAGAAATTTCTTAATTTCTTTTGACTTCTTTGATCCATTAGTTGTTCACAGATAAGTTGTTTAATTTCTGTGTACTTGTAGGATTTCTAAAGTTTTCTTTTAGTTAGAAAAAATATTCAGTATAAGTTTAAGTTCTTTTCTTTTTGGTGGTACTAGGGGTTTGTACTCAGGGCTTTATGTTTGCTAGAATTTTAAGCACACCTTAAGCCTCTTTTCACTGATTTTCTTTGCTCCTGTAGTCACTTCTATTTCAGCACTGGATGATATTCAGGTACAGGTTTACCTGAGATTGGTTGTTGATGTGTCGTCACCTTTATCTCTGAAGGATAATCCAAGCCCAAGTTTGTCTCAAATATGTTTTTGTTGTATGGTTCAGAAAGAAACCACACAGTACCTAGAAATATTAGTCTGTTTCCATAATACTCTCTTGGGCCTTGGTTCCCAGATGCCTAAACCACAGTTACTGGCCTGTGCTCAGACACTTCACTGTTCTCCCTGCTCTCTGCCGAGTCATTACTGGTGGGCCATCCTTAGGATCCTAGACCACACCCAGTGCCATCAAACTATGTCACACCCTAAGTACACATGCCAGCAAGACCAATTTAGCACTAGGTTACATCCAAGATTTACTCTTCTATGGGCTGCCTGTTGCTGAGGTGGTCTAATTGGCCTAGAAACACTGCAACAGGGCAGAGGTTGTGCTTGCCTGAATAGAAATCCAAGAATATAGACCCATGTGTCTTTCCCTGGTAGTGGAGCTTTTCCAGGGGCTATGTCTACAACCAGGCCAGAAGATAAGAACTTTTAAGGTCTGCTCAGTGTCAGGTTTTGCCAGCTAAATACTAAGATAGAGAGTTCAATTTGTACTCATGGCCTAAATTTGGATAGGGATGTTGAAGGCAATCCTTTGGCTTCCTTAAGCTCAGGGCCTGGGTGCTCTCCCTGAGCACCACTTGCTCAAGGCGAACCCTCTACCACTTTAAGCCACAGCACCATTTCCAGTTTTCTGGTGGTTAATTGCAGATAAGAATCTCAGTGACTTTCTTGCCCTGGCTGACTTCAAACTGAGATCTTCAGATCTTAGCCTTTGGAGTAGCTAAGATTACAGGTGTAAGCCACTGGTGCCTGGCCCAGGATGATATTAAGCTGAGTAGTTTCTGAGTTCCATGGAAGCAAGGATGGACTTGCAGTCTCTGCAGTGCATCAAGACCCACACCACAATGGATGATGATGCAAGCCAAAGCCTGAATCCATCTCCTTGGGACACATGACTCTGTTTGGTGCTGAAGAAGTTCTGTGAGCCCTGGACTGCTGATATCTCTGCTGCTTGAGTTTGGAGGCCATATTGTAGTATGTTATGCTAAAATGATTTGACCCTTAATCTCACTGCTGCATGGATTTGTAGTCTCGGGGATGTTGTGTAGGTACACACACACACACACACACACACACACACACATCAGGCCCACTCAAAAAACTGAGAATGATATGGAACAAAACTTAAACCTGTCCTTCCAGGAGTACAGGTCTCCACTTGGTGCTGGGCCAGAGTAGAGACTCAGCTGTGAGCTCTGTCCTCTGTCCCAGCTCTGTGCTGAGTCTAGTTATAGTGGAGTTAGTACGATGTCAAATCTAAGGCCTCAACTTAATTCCTTCTCTCTTCTTCTCAAAGTAGATGTCTCTTCCTGTTGTGCTGCATTGCTTAAAGTAGGCAGGGAGATAGTGTATGCAACTCCTTCCTTCTTGCTTTCTCTAATGCATAAGGCTTTTCTTTCTTTTTCAACTACAAGTAGGCACTATGTTCTTTTTCTTTTTTGTTGGTCATGGGGCCTGAACTCTGGGCCTAGGTGCTGTCCCTCAGCTCTTCAGTTCAAGGCTAGCACTTACCATTGAGCCATAGAACCACTTCTGGCTTTTTCTGCTGGGGAATTGAACCCAGGGCCTCGTGTATGCAAGGCAGGCACTCTACCACTGAGCCACTTTCTCCAGCCTGGCACTATGTTCTTTTATCTGGATTCCTTATTTGTAGGGTAGGTACTTTGATGTGTGTCTCTTTGAAGATAATTGATAGATTTTACTCAAACTCTTTCTTGCTCCATCTCTCCAATTTTTCATATTTATTTATTTATTCAGGTAATGTGGTTTGAACCCAGGGTTTATACTTGCTAGACAGGTACTGTACCACTTGAGCCAAACCCTCAGCCATCTAAAAAAATTATTTTGTGGACAAACTTTTGTATTTTTGCTCAGGGCCAGCTTTTTATATTCATTCTGTGTTCTATAGGCTGCAGACATGGACCACTCTTTCTAGCTTATTTGTAGAGATAGGGTCTTGTTTAGATCTTTTTTACACTGGCTCATCTGCAACCAATATCTTCCCAATTTCCCCACTGGAATAGCTGAGATTACAGGCATGTACCATTGTGTCAGGCCCCCAAATTTCTTTAAAGAAGACATTTCTCTAAAATATCTGAAGTGATTTCTTAGATACTGAAAAATTTTAAGTGTTTAAGATTCAACATTTATATTCTTATTTTTAAATTGCATTTAAAAAGCCCAAAGGTAAAATTTTAATTCAAGCTTAACTGACCTTTAGTTTAATGTATGTATCAGGCAGTAAAATTCTAACTAAATTGCAAAATGCAAAGTCAGTATAAAGAATTCCAATTGCTATATCTTTAGAAATTCTTAATATCATTGAATTTATTTAGAGCCTCAATATAATTTTAAAATTAGAGATTTTCTCATTTTATATTTGAAATTCCCATATTACTTCAAATAATGCTCTTATACATTTTAAAACACTAATCAGAGTTTTAGTGGTAAGAATTTTAATTCCAGATTCTACTGTGGAGAATTTTTCATGTTATTGTACTGCCATCTAGTGTTGAAAATATTTACAGGTTTATGTCTGAGACAAACAGAAAAAGCCAGATAAGTTGATGTTAGGTGAAATGAACCCCAAGATAAGTATTCAAATGTTTTTGCTTTCATGCGATTGTTTCTAATATATTTATAAGATGATTTCTTTGTTGCTTTGCATGTCCCTCCCCCACGGTATAACCCCTGATTTCACTGTATTTGATGTTGTTATAATTTGTGGAGGGGAAGGGAAAAAACAAATTGTTTAAATAGGGATACAGGTGGACCCTTTGCAACAATGAGATGTACAAACTGTTATTTCAAAAA